CTTCAATCTTTCCCAGCATCAGGGTCTTTTCAAATGAGTCAGCTCTTCGCATCAGGTGGCCAAAGTATTGGAGCTTCAGCTTCAGCATCAGTCCTTCCAATGAANCTTTTCCCAATTTGGAACCAGTCTGTTTTTCCATGTCTAGCTCTAACTGTTGCTTCCTGACCTGCATACAGATTTCTAAGGAGGCAGGTAAGGTGGTCTGGTATTCCCTTCTCCTTAAGAATTTTCCACAGTTTGTTGTGATTCACACACTCAAAGATTTTGGTATAGTCAATAAAGCAGAAGTAGATGCTTTTCTGGAACTCTTGCTTTTTCGATGATCCAACAGATGTTGGCAATTTGATCTCTGATTCCTCTGCTTTTTCTAAATCCAGCTTGAACATCTAGAAGTTTTCAGTTCATGTACTGTTGAAGTCTGGCTTGAAGAATTTTGAGCATTACTTTGCTGTCACGCCACATATAAACTATCACAATTATTTTGAAGGGCTTACTTTTTTCCTAAATAGGGAACTCTTTTATTTTACAACAAAAGAGTCTTGACTTCTGTATCATGTATTGATTAGGGTAATCCTTTCTGAAATTGGCAGTTTTAGACTGTGATATGTGGCATAGGAATGCTGGTGGAGGTAGGAAGATCAATAGAGATCCACAGCAGAAAATACATGGCCAGTATTGTAACTAAAAGACATTCCTATTGTTTAAGCCCTTTTTCCTTTCAATAAAGACCTCATCTACGTATATTAACTTACTGGGATTCCATCAAATAATTCATATTAAGATCCCAAGTAAACATCCACTCTTCAGATGTCTTGAATACATCTCCGATTTTATCAGCTCTCTTATTCTTTCAAGGTGTTCTGAATAATAGAATTCAGACAGGGGTTTGTTTCTAAATGTCAAATAGTAGGGGAGGCAGAGGATCTAGAATGTATATATGGATTAATGGGAAACAATAGCACTGGGCAGAGCTATGAAATCTTAGGAACCAAGAGAGATCTTTACGCACCTGTGCAAGAGATGATGGAAAGCCGGAATTTAGAAATCACGATTCTACTTTCAGTATTCAAACAATCTCTGGATTCCTTCTCTTTGGTTGAAATGTTGAACCATTTTTACTCCAAAAGCTGATTGTGAAAAGCATTATAGAACTGTATCTCATGTGGCTAAATCTCTGTATCTCAGTTGTATCTCAAACTGTATCTCATGTGGTTAAAGACTGAATAAATATTACTAATCATTATATTTATCCATGAAACAATGTCTTGCACATAGTAGACATGCAGTAAATACATGTTGTATATATAAATGAAGAGGACAATTCCCTTGAATTCAAGTAGGAGATGGCAAGTCCTACTAGCAACAGCTATTTTTTAAAAAAATTATCTCTTGAATATTATTTCTCAGGGAAGCTGGCAAGCTGAAATCTGTTACATTAACGCCAGCAGGGAAGTATATGTGTGAAGAGAAGAAGTAAACATTCATTGTACACGGTGGCTCAATGGACTATCCACATGAGTTCTTAAGACACTTGAGAATAGTTGGCAATATTTATACTTAGGGTGACCCCTACAAATGCTATTTTGTATATAATAATTCTGAAAATTTCTACTTCCAAGTCAGTTGAGCTTTTTCAATTCAGAACTGTTGAGCTAATCTCTAACTGTATAGCTACTTTTTCTTTGATAATGAGTTTATCTCAACATTTTGATTGAGATTTTGATGTTATTAGATTTTCAGTCTGTATCAGTGTCAAAGTATCTTCCAAGAATAGATTAATAACCAGCACATTTAAAACATTACTATATTTTTTCCTTCTTAGCCCAAATAACAATAATAAAAACCTGCTGCTTATTGAAAGTCTAATATTAGCCAGTTCCCCTTTGGTGTTTTATGTATTAATTTATATATTGATATAGGTTATATGATTTTACCCTCTAATAGAGAAGAGGAAAGCAAAACAAATCTCAGATATAATATCTTGCATAAAGATTCACATATCATAGATTTTTTTGAACTGAGATTCACACTCAACTCTCAGGGTATCGCTACTCTGATAGACTAAATACCCCAGATTTACATTTGACTCACTCAAAATCTTGTGAGATAAGTTAGCAAAAGGTAGCTTTCTTTTCTTTATTCATCTAAGGTTGGTATTAGATCTGTCTGTGTTTATATAAATAATGAGAATAATAGAAATTTAGAATTAAGGATATTTTAGGGATAATCCAATAAACATTTATTTGATGCATGGTAATG